CCACTTCAAATCTCCGAGTCAGAAGAACTGGAGTGGGGCTCGAGCAGTGGCAGTTCCCACAAGTCCCCAGGTGATGGTCCCCAGCCGTACTTTGAGACCCATGGGAGTAAATGGTCTCTTGGATTTCTTCCAGCTGTTGCACACTGGAGGGTCAGTGACATGGCTGGCTTCATTAGCCTGTATTGGTGGGTGATCAAAAATACCACTACTGCATGTAGTGACTTTTCAACATTTGGCCACATTTGATGGTGATCCAGGAAAATTATCTCAACATGAGTGAAGAACACTGATGAAAATCACTCCTTCATGTATTCATTCACTCATTTGTTCAACATGCATTTATCGAGCATCCCAAGTGCCAGGCATTGTGCTAGAGACTAGAGACACAGCATGGCCGAGACACACTTGGCCCCTGCCTGTGATGTACATGCTGACTATGGAGAAAACATTATTAATTTATTCTTATTACTGAAAAGGAAGTGCAAAGACCTATGAGAGTAAAATACTCCTTTGTGGAATTTGTGATTATAACTTCAGACTTTACCTAAACAGGCTTATTTTCTCCTGTGGTCTTAATAAATTGTCTGTTTTCCTGTATCTAGTTTGATTTTTGTTCTTTGCTTTTTGAAGTCTTTCTATTGTGCCAGCTCAGTTAGTGGCATTTTTATTTAAATTTTCCAACCTAAATGTTGCCTTCCTGTCCTAGATGAAACCTTGGCTTTGTTCAAAATGTGCATTTTCATTTTTAGCAGACAGTGGCAGTTGAAATCAACAGCAAAAGCAGAAACCCTTGTCTAAAGTAATTCCCTCACTATTATTGCAACTTCAATGACATTAGAAGTCCTAGGGAGATGAATTCAAATAGTTATCTCCACCCCCACTGGCACCTCCAGCAATTTGGCTTTTTTAAAGAATAGGACTGGCCGAGTGGCTCATTTGGTTAAGTTTGCTTAAGAGCATGAGCTCTGAGCAACAGGGTCACTGGTTCGATTCCCACATGGGCCAGTGAGCTTCGCCCAAGCTGCTTCTGAGCTGAGCTGCCAACAGGTGGCAGGATGGCTCAGCTGGTGAGAGCACGTGCTCCTAATGACAAGATTGCCTGTTGGATGGTGGGCTACGCCTGCCTATGGCTGGCACTGAATTTGGCACCTTGAACTAAGCTGCCGCCTGGGTGGCTCAGTGGATAGAGCGTGCGCTCTTAACAACAAGGCTGCTGGTTCGACTCCCACATAAAAAAAAAGAAAGAAAAGATAAAGAATAAAAGACGAAGGATACAGGGTTCTTGAAGGGAGGATGTCTATTATAAAAAGGGAAGGAAAGGAAATAGTGTACTGATAAAGGTTATCATTTGTTGAGTGTATATTATGTGCCAGCGACTGTAGCCAAGAATTTTACATGAATTATCAGGTAAACTTGCTAACAAACCAATGAGGTACAGGTACGATTATTATTCTTCCTTTTACATATGTGGAAATCAAAGCTCAGTTATCAGGTTTGATAACTGGCCCAAAATCTCACAGTTATTTGATGGATGAGAAGGGAGTCAAAGCTAGGCCTGTCTGACTCCAAAAGCTTGTGCTTTTTACCAGTAAATTATGCCCTCAGTCGTTTCAGTCCATGCATTTTTCATAGGCATGGTGCTGAATCATTTGGCTTACTGGTTTTCTGACTCATCTCACTGACGAGGGCCAGATCCAAAGCATCTTCCCTTGTGTCCTTTTTCTTCCTGCCCTTTTTCTGAGTACAGTCCACATACTCCATCGTGTCCTTTGTTTCCATTGGCCTTAAAGAAGTAGCTTCTTATGGACCATATCTGTGACACAGTAGAAGTCTAGTAAGCTTGCCAGGAAGTAAAAGTACATTTATTTGTTCAGGACTATAATGTTTATTTGAAAGGGATGTTCAATCACAGATCTGACTTTTTTATGAGCTTCATTCTGAATTCCTGCGATTGGAAAAATGCTTGAGTAAGTAATGCCTCCATGAAGAGTCACTATCACATGCATTATTTTAAAAGGTTTGGCAATAAAACACTCAAATTATTGATAATACATATTTAATATGAAGTAATATGTGTTTTAAAATAAAATTTGCATATACATTTAAAAAAATTAAATTTGCCATGATAGTGATGAGACTATTGGCTTTTATTTATTTGTAAGTCAAAGACTTATAAAAGGTTATCCATAGCAAAGGAATATGTAAACACAGTAATCTAGGGGTTCAGTTTTTCTCTTTTTTATTGGCAAACACACGATTCTACTCTTCAAAAGAAACAGTTAGTGGTTTTATTTTTTTAAGCTCATTAAGATGGTTCAAAAAGTCTTGGCTAGCAAACACCTTTTTAAAAAAATCAATTTTTCAATAATTTAGAGTGAATCAGACCCATATAGTTACATTTCCCTTAAGGGGGATATGCTTTCAAAATAATTAAAGTAGAGGCAGCTTTATAGGTTTTGAGAAAATGTGCTTGGAAAATGTCCTTTGATTTGTTATGAACCCCAAAGCTTTGATAAAATGGGATGGGACTGGGACCAACTTCCCAGCCTCATCACCCCTAGTGGTACGTGACTAGGTACAGAGAATGCCAAGTGCCCACCTAATCTACATACCTTATCCCTTTTATTAATACAACTCAGTCTTTAAATTGTGCATAGGGCTTGTTAAAGACTACATTTCCCAGCCTTCTTTGTAGCTATATATGTTTATCTGAGTTTTGGCCCATGAGGTGTAAACGGAGGTGTCCTATGAGATGCCTGAGAAGTCTCTTGTAAAGGAGCCGGGGATGGTTGTGTTTTCCCTTCCTGACTGCCTGAATTGTGTAGGCTGCCTGGCGTTTTTGCAGCCATTTTAGATAAGGAAGCCAAGGGCCATTCCCCAGAAATGGCCAAACAGTGAGCTTTTGTGGCATTACCATACCAGCCTTGGGGTTTCTTTCTCTGGACTTCCTTTACATGAGAGAGAAATTTCTTTTCTTTCTTTCTTTCTATATCACCATTTTGTGGATTTGTAGCTACACTTTTAATCATAACTAATAAAAATGGTGACTCATCAGGTTTGGGGAAACAGCAAGTGCATTAACATAATAAGTTGAGCTGTCATTATTGAGTACTCTCTATATGCCAGGAACTGTTCTAAGAGCTGTATTTGTAACTGTTCACATAACTCACTCAACAATCTTCTAAGAGACTATTATCCCCATTTTACAGGTGATAAAATAGGCATAGAGAGGTTAAATAATGTGCCCAAGGTCACACAGCCAACCCAGGAGTTGAAACCAGTTGGTCTAGCTCTAGAACTTTATCTTAGTCACTGTGGGAAAGTGACTTGACAACATTTAAGAAAAGAAACAAAAGCTAAGCTGGACCAAGACCCCAGCTTTTCTCCATGTGGACTTATCTCCTGCCCTGATTTTGTCACTAATTACATGGATGTCCTCTGGCATATGGCTTAATGCCCATGTGCCTTGGAGTTTTCACTAATAAGAGGCAGATAACAATACCTCCCGTGCCTGTTGGGCATGCACTCTGAGCTTGGCACTGTGCCAGGTACACTGATCTGTTAGTGACAGCCCCGCCTGGAAGGAGCCCACGTAGTCTGAATAATCGAGTCAAGCTGAGGAATGAGGAGATGCAGAATGACAACATTACCATTCCAGGGGAGTTTTTGGTGCTTGGTAGATGGTAGGCAACCCGTAGTTGTTTCTGGAATGGATGTGACAATGCCTGATTAAGTGCCCTGTGAGTGGGAAGAAATAAATGTTGTGAATCAAAAGGGAGAGTTTTGGGGTCCAAAGAGCTCAGGGGGACTCGGTAAGTGCTGGGTTAATATTGGTGGAGTCAGTTAGTGAAGTAGCCCTGCAGATTTCGTTGGATTGGGGTCTCTAGTAGGTAAGTGAGCCTGCTGTCTTCCTCCTGCTCGGTGGCCCAGGTTTAGTTCCTTGAACCTACTCCATGCTCTGCCGCTTTGGTACCTACACAAATACTCTCCTCTCTGCTGGCCATGCTTTCTCAGCCTCTCTTCCCACGTAAGCTTTGCTCATCCCTTTGATCTCAGTGACCTACAGGGAAGCTCTCCTGAGTAGATCAGATCTCACTTATGTACCCTCAGGGTGTGGTAGAACCCGTCCCAATGGAGTACTTGATTCTAAAGTCAGTCCATATTAGGACAGTTTTGTCAACCAGATTATCCTTGAAAATCCCTCACTTCCTAAATTAGCTCTACAGTGCAAACTGACAAACCAGCACAGATAATCATAATGATTCAGTACTTCCTTTGTCTTTCTTTGAGATACTGGCTTAGTTTATTTAGGGTCTAAGTTTATGAAACAAATCCAGATCCCATACAGTCCAGTAGGTAGTGCACCCCAGCAGGGCTGTTAGGCAGATAGATCATGATATGAGTGGCACCATTTGAAGCTGAGTGCACCCAGAATTGTATATCGTGGCTTGTTATAGAGTCTTGTGCAGGAAAAGGAGATACTTGCATGGTGAGGAAATAGGAACTGAAGCCAACCCAGGGAAGAACTGACTTACAACTCACTCCAGGGCCAGGCTCCCTGAGTGGGATGGTGAAATAAGTCACTTGCATTATTTATATTGTTTAATTTCTCTCTGCATCTCTTTCATTTGCTTCCTGACTCCTGTGTACAGTTGAATTTGTGTGTCATATCTATGCAAACCACAACTCTTCTGCACTTCCTTTTATAAAACTCATTGCATTTGAATTTTTCATGGATCCCTTGTAATTATTGGTTTAATGTTCCTGCCAGATTATACATTCCATGCGGGCAGGGGGCATGTCCATCTCAATTACTTGCTGTGGCCCCAGCACCAACACAATACCTGGCACAGTTTTTCTGAGCAGTTCCATTCCAAACATTGATATGGCTTTTTATTCTCTGGCCTTCAAGAAGATCCACTAAATTTCTTTCTTAGTTACTCAGTGCTGAGATCTGTAGCTGCTGAGGCACTCAATTCAGCCTGGGGGGCAGAGATAAACCTGCCTGGGCTGGTGCTGCACTAATGCTACAGAAACCCCTGAAACTGATAATTATCCAGAGACACTTGATATAACTAAGGGCCTAAGGAGCTTTGGACCACCTTGGCTCATTATCACCTCATTAAGCCCCCCCCCCACACACACACACCTCTAAATGGTCTCCTCTCCATTCCCACTGCCAACCCTATGCCCCAAGGCTCTTCCCAGCTTGACTTTGACCCAGGCCCTTTCACAAGTGAACTTAACTGAAACGTGATCTTGCACATGTGTGTCACTGTTGGTTTCTGAAAAGGCTCTTCAGTAACAACAGCATCATCTTCTCCTTTTTAATTCTTTCTTCTGTTTTTGAAGAGTCTAAAAGCCAAATCAACTAAAGAAATGAAAGCAGAAAACCATCTTACCACTCTCATACCCCCATACAGTTTGTTAATTTGCCTTTTTTTTCTGGCTGCTTTACCACAATTGAAATCCTACTATATGCTAGTTTTTTACCTGCAGTTTTAAAGTAACAATATTACATACTCATATTTCCATTTTTCCATTATGGTCTTTATAAGCATAATTTTAATAACAGTATAATATTTCATCAAATGACCTTATGACATTTTAAAGCCTGCCATCAAGGTTGGACACAAAGCTTTTCACTTTTTTCCTTTAGAATAGAAATATTATGATATAAAAGTATATAAAAATACTGCAAGGACCCTCTTTTTATTTTTATTTATTTTCTACTTATAAACTATTAGGAATAAAAAATACTAGGTAAAAAATAAACTCTTTAAATTTTTATTTTATTTCAAGTTACAACTTGAATAATGTATATTTAGTGTAGAAAACTTTGAAAATACAGAAAAATATTTCTTCCAACATTTACCTCCAGGAAGTGGATGTATTATATCTATTTTATTATATTTGTATACTATATATGTGGTTATTTTACATAATTGAAGCAATAATTTATATATATGTCATTGAGACTTCAAATGTAATTTTTAATTTACTGTATACTATAATTTAATTAACATTATTCTTGTACCCATTTAGATTTTTTTCTGAGTTCTTTTTATTTTTCTTTTTTATTTATCATTTCTATTTTAATTATTTCTATCAAGATTAGGGATTGTTGTGTTTGTACATGTAAGTTTGTCAGCATTTTATGTTATTTCTTAGAATAGATTCCATGAATGTTTTTACTAAGTCAAAAGGTATAAATATTTTTAAGGCTTTTGATGTGCACTGCCTAATTGCTTTCCAGAAAAATTATACAAGTTGCATTTTCAACAGTCTATAAGGTTATAAGGCAATAGAAAATAGCATGTCATTTATTTTAATTTCTTTGTTAGTGAAGCTGAACTTTCAGTTGTTATTCATGTATATTTTCTTCTGTGAATTGTCTGTATTCTTAAAACAAGAATATTTGAAGGTTCTTGACACATATTTAGAAACCTATTTCAAAAGATGTTATTGTGGTATGTAAGAAGGTACAGGAAAAAGAGGTAAATACAAAGATTAGAATTTCCTGGTTCACTCTTTCGTACCAGGCCATAAGATTCACCTCCGAAAACTTGAAAATTTTCTGGTATCTGCTTTTGCTTTTTAAAGTAATAATAGACACTTAGAAGTTGCACTTATTGGAGTCAAGCAGTGAGGCCCTGTTATTTCTTCAGAGCTCATCCTCCCAGCTCTGGAATTCTGTGAGAGAATGACTGAATCCATTTAAGATAAAAAGGTAAAATAATAACTCTCAGTTGTTTGAGAGCTAGTGACCGGGTTAGGTTCTACTTCAGTGCCTATCATTTTGATGATAACTAGTGTTCATTTATTTGTGTATGTGTTGTCTGGTCCCACACTAGTATATGTATCAAGAGATATTACATCTCTGCATTGTCGGATTCCTTCTGTTCCTCCAAATTTCTGTTATCTTTTTAATCTACTTGCTTATTTGGGTTTTTGTCTTTCGTGGTAGAGGCTATCTTTAGATGATCAGGTGACCCTTGGCTGTCTTTTCATACTCGAGTATGGGGTACTAAAAGGCTGATGGGAAATTCTGTAGGGGAGCTGATCAGCCAGTCCTCACTGTAGCATGTTCCAGATGGCTTGTTTAATAAAGGAATCCTCAGCCAGTATTTTTGGGTCTCTTCTCTTAATGTAATTGGAGTCCTCAGAAAGAATACCTTCAGATCTTTCAATATCCTATCCCAAGGATTGAAGCCTGGCTTCTTGAATTCAAGAAGCCAGGGTAGAGAAAACGTTGGATGCCTCTATATGCATTATGAAAATTTTCACCACATATCCTTTGTTTCACATTAACTTCCCTGCTCTCAACTGCATCCAGTATCCAGACGTCTTCTGTTTTGCTCTTTCCAGGGAATAAACCTCTAGCCTTTCATTAGGTTGGGGAAATGGATGGTCATACCAGTGTCAAGTGCCGAGTTTACCTTTTCATGAAATAGGCTTTCAACCAGACCTGCTATTCTTAGTCGCTCTTTGACCTCACTTCCAGAGATAATGTGTGCCACTAAATGTTTAAGCCATTGGGGGTTCTGCAGGACAAATTGAGTTGCTTCTTAGCGTTCCTCACAACTAACTTAGGGTTCAGGTCGCTCAGGATTGTTAAATCGATTGCCATTTATCCTTCTGCTTTCTAACTTCCAAAATTTTGTTGCTGGTATTACCTTTTTTCATATTTTTGGCATTATGATTTTGTGTCTTTTAAAAGAAATGCCCCTTCTGTCTCACATCTATGAGGATGACTGCTATACAAAACAAAATAAAACACAGAAATAGCAAGGGTTGGTAAGGATGTAGAGAAACTGAAAGCCTTGTATACTGTTGGTGGGAATGTAAAATGGTACATCCACAGTGGAAAACAGTATGGTGGTTACTCAAAAAATTAACAATAGACTTGTCATATGATCTAGTAATCCGTTTCTGGGTATATTACCGAAAAGAACTGAAAGCAGGAAGTTGAGGAGATATGTATATACCCATGTTCATAGCAGCACTATTCACAATAGTCAAGTGTCCCATGACAGATGAGTAGATAAACAAAATGTGGCATATACATACAACCGAATATTATCCAGCCTTAAAAAGGAAGGAAATTCTGACATGCTACAATATGGATGAGCCTACTTAAATGAAATAAGCCAATCACAAAAGGACAAGTACTATATGATTCCACTTATATAAGGTACCTAGAGTAGTCAAATTCAGAGAGACAAAAATTAGAGTAGCAGTTACCAGGGCCTGGGGGGAGGGCAGAATGGAGAGTTGTTATTTAATGGGTATAGAGTTTCAATTTTGCAAGATGAAAGGAGTTTTGGAGATGAATGGTGGTGATATTTGCACAACCATCTGGATGACCTTAATGAATACTGAGCTAAAATGGTAAAGATGGTAAATTTTATGTTATGTTTATTTTACCACGATTTAAAAAAAGGAATACCTCTTTATTTCGCTCTCATCCTGAGAGAGAGAAAAAACTAATTACTGTGTTCAATCTATTACTTAAAATAGAAGTCTATTATTTCCTTTTTGAAGTTAAATGACTTTGCCCTGGTCACAGAGCTAGTCGGTGGCAGGTAAGGATTTAATCCAGTTCTGGGATGAAGGTCGGGGCTCTTCCCTGCTGTGATACATAGAATCAATTCAATTCATTCTTCCAGTAACAGGCAATATTCGTGAAGCACCTTGTTCCAGCACCTTTGAAGGCAGCAGTGAGCAAGAGTGATAAAGTATCCGTATCACATGACTGTGAGGTGGAGATGCCATACAATGCACAAGTACACCCATAAACAAGACAGTGGCAACTATCGATATGTGCTTTGGTGGAAATAAATGCTGGAAGAAATGTGGTGGGGGAGACTTTTGAGTTGAGAGCTCCTCATAGAGATGGTTTCAGAAATGTGAATATGTAGGCAGGAGTGTTCCTGGCAGAAGAAACAGCACGCGCAAAGGCCTAGGGAAATGAATAAGCTCTGCCTGTCTGAGAAAGTAAAAAGACCAATTTAGCAGGATGTCATCAGAAAAGGGAATGGCAAGAGATGGGGTAAGAGATTTTTCAAATGTAGAACCTCATGAGCCTTGGATTGAGGCATGAGTTTTCCTATGGGTAATAATAGCCACTGGATGGTTTTCAGAGGGAAATGATGCGCTGATTAGCTTTTTATCATAGTTGGCTTTCACCAAGTATCTACCATATAGCTGGTAGATACCAGAAATGCAATATTAAACAGACACTGTTGCCCACAAGGAAATTATAGCCTGGTAAGGAAGAAAGAACAGTGTCAGTAAAACATAGCAGTATAGCCCACGGTGTGCACTCTGGAACTACAGAGGATTTTTTTTAGGAAAAAAAGTTTTCATGATCAAATTCGATTGGTGATTTATGTTTCGTATTCTTTAGGGATTCTCAGTGCACACCGGCATATGAGAGTCAGAGAATTGTTGCAGTATAGAAACCTGTCCAACTCAGTTCAGCTTGGCATTTCCCAAACTTATGTGCACCAAGAGCTTCTTTTGAACCACACCTTTTAATAGCTTTTTAAATTTTATTGAGTGTGGAACAATCTGGAAAACAGTGAATTAAAGAAATATGACAAGTTATACAACAGTTGTGAAGGCTGTACTGAGAAGGGATCTAGCACAGTTCAGGGTGCGGAGGGGCAGGCAGTCAGGGTGGCCTTCCTGGAGAAGGTGACCCCTGAGTGGCTCCCTGTGGGGTGAGTAGAGGTTAGCCATGTGAAGAAGCAGGGAAGGCTATCCCACAGAGATAGAACAGCCTGAGCCCATACGTGGAGACCCAAACAGGCCCATCGTTCATCCTAGGAAAATAGATTTACAAATTTCAAGCAGGAAAAGGATATGGTAGCTTGTTTGGCACCTTAATGGAAATACAGTAAAACCTTGGATTGAGAATAACATGGTCAGCGAGTGTTCCGCAAGACGAGCAAACATTTCTACTATATTTTAACATGGTAAATGAGCGATGTCTTGCAATATAAGTAGTTTGTTTCCAGAACGAATTATGCTCGCAAACCAAGGTATTACTGTCATTGTTTTCCAATGGAGTCAGAGTAGAATGCGGTTTTCCTAATCTGGATTTTCACATGAACTGCTGGTTTCTGTTGTCCAGTAGGCTCCTGTCGTCTGTTGCCACGGCCTGCCCACCTGACCCTCCCCAGCCTCCTTTCTGCACCTTTCTCATCCCCCGCCTGCACTTGCTGTGCAGCCCTGTCTCGGGAAGGCCAGACAGAAGCCCCTTGCTATGCACCCTTCTTCTCTCTGCACCAGATAGCTCAGCCTTCCTGGAAGCGTGGATTTTCCGTTAGTGCCCACAGCTCTGTCAGCACCACTATTTCTGTCCTCACATCGTTTCCGAATACTCGTGCGCTACCGCCCGGTTTTCCCTTCCACATTCTTCCAGGTTCATTTTTGCGTCTGCTTTGTGCAAGACAGCATAATGAGAGGATGTCACATTTCCCTGCAAGACACAGCCTCATGCACAGCAGGGCGTAAGGGGATTGGAAAGGTTCACAGACGCCAGCGGGTCTCCCTCCTGTGCACCCACCCCCTTGCGTTTCATAGAACAGAGGTTCTTTATGTGGCTTATTTTTTCTTCATTGTTATTCAGTGATGAATAAAAACAGCCCCCACTTATTTAGTGCTTACTGTGTACTAGACTCTATACCAAGCATTTTACATTATCATTTAATTTTCACAACCCTCAAAGATGTATTATTAAGCCTACAAATGAGGGGACAGGCTGGAGAGGAGCTCAGCCAGTCAGAGAAGAGGCCATCATTTAAACCTAGGGTGCAGTTGTCAGGGTCACACAGCCAGTACATAATGCCATTAAATGCTCTAATTGTAAACATTTCATTTCTGGGGAGTCTGTGCTTACATCTGCTTGTGCTTCTGATAACCAGGGAGCTTTAAAAAATAAGGATTCTAGGGCCCCATGTCATAACCATTAACCACAAGCCAGGGATGGTGCCCAGGAACTGCTGTTTTCAAAAGCTCTCCACGTTCTCTTCAGAATCATTTGGAAAGCCACTGGCAGGCCCCACCACAGAGTGTCTGCTTCACTAGCTCTAGAGGGGGCCCGAGAATGTGCATTTCTAACAAGTTCCCAGGTGCTGTTCGCGCTGCCCCTTGGGGAACCCACTTTGACAATGCTTGTCTGATACAGCTGGTGAAAAATGAGGAAACAGGGTGATAAGAACAGGAGAGTTAGCGTTAGGAAACCAAATGCTAATACTTTTTTTTTTCTTTTTTAAGACCTTGGGGTTTTATTTGATTCCAACCAAACATTTTAGATTAATGAAGACATAGGAGGGGAGTTACGTTAGAGTGGGATTTGGAGCCAGACAGCTGGTACCAGTTCCCAATGTCACCCCTTAGGAAGGCTCTGAGCTTCAGTTTCCTCAGCTGAACAGTGGGGATGCTAATGGCTGGCTCCCAGGCATTTAATAAATGGACTTCCTGTCTTCTTCTCTTCCCTTTCCACTTACCTCAGGGAAAGAATTGTGAAATTCCAGAAACTTTTCTTTTAGGCTTTAGTTTAGGAGATTTTTCGAGTTATGGACTAGCTGTTGTGTACGTTCATTTTGTGAAGTATTTAGGCCTGGGACTGCTGGTTTTCGCTACTTCTTTTACTCGCTCCCTCGTTGTTCCCAGTGGAATCCTGGAGCATCTGCTGGGTGTCTGCCAGTTCATGGCTTCTGGGAAAGCTGCACTAGCCTTCCTTGGAGAATGAGGCTAGAGGCTGCTAAGTGGAGTCTTACTCAGGGAATTTGCAGGCACAACATTTGGAAGATGGTCATTTTCCCAGAAGGAAAGGGTAGAACTAATGGCTACCTCTGGGCTCTGGGGGTCAGTGTTTTCATTCCACGGCTGACAGAGCTGAAATGATCTTTACAACCCGCGCATCTAGACCCCAACTCCAATCCTACTATTTGAAGTGGAACACTGAGAAGTTTGCACGGCCATCCTGTGTTTTGGTTTCTTTATCTATATTATGGGGATGACCTCTCCTCCTGCATGGGATTAGTCAGAGTTTAAATGAGATTAAGAGCCCTAGAGTACTATATATTGTACCATCCTTGGATCACAGCTGACACTTAATATGACATAATCCCCTTCCCTTATACCATGATTTGCTCCCATATAACTTCCTCTATATGGGTAAAAAAAAGAGGAAAATAAAAAATAAAAAGTGCCATGCTGTGTGCTGGGTCCTTTCACATTCATGCTGTCGTTTGTTCTTCACAGCATCCCTTTTATGTACTAGCCTTCCCAGCTTGTACAAGGAGTAATAGAGCAGGTACACAACCCAAATTCTTACAGCTGGTAAATCTTGGAGTGGATTTGAACCCAAGTGTGCCTGAATTCAACACATGGGCTCCTTCCACTCTGTCTCCAAGGAGGTTGGAGTGCATTCATCTAAAGAAGTAGATTGGCTATTATGAACAAGACAAGTAATGACAAGCGTTGGAGAGGCTGTGGAGAAAAAGGGACCCTCATACACTGCTGGTGGGAATGCAGATTGGTGCAGCCACTGTGGAAAACAGTATGGAGGTTCCTCCAAAAATTAAGAATAGAACTACCATATGACCCAGCAATCCCTCTTCTGGGTATATACCCAAAAATCTGAAAACATTTATCCATAAAGATATATGCACCCTGATGTTCATTGTAGCATTATTCATGGTGACCAAGACATGGAAACAACCAAAGTGTCCTATGATAGATGATTGGATAAAGAAGATGTGGTACATATACACAATGAAATATTACTTGGCCATAAGAAAAGATGAAATACTGCCATGTTCAACAACATGGATGGATCTTGAGATTATCATGCTAAGTGAAACTAAACTCCTCAAATAAGCCATGGTGCCAAAGATGCATTCAAAGATGTTCTCTACAGTACTATTTATAATAAGAATGATTAGAAATGACAGTGTCAAGTTTTACCTGAGCTGAGCCCTGTGCTCCCGGAAAACAGTGCGAGTTAATAAATGCCCCCTGCTTTGGGTAGGTAAGCCAGGAAATGTCTTCCTGCAAAGAACTATCCTCCCCGATATGAGTTTGATAAGATTCATGGATGCCTCCCCTGTTTACTCATGACAAGGCCGAATACAGATCCTGCAAATCCCCATGCTTTGCCTTATGCATATTTAGGTGTGTGTGTGTGTGTGTGTGTGTACATACATTATAATGAATTGGCTTATGCAGTTGTGGTAAGTCCCAAGATCTGCAGGGTGTGTCAGCAAGCTGGAAACCCAGAACTGATGGAGTAGTTCCAGTTTGAAGGCCTGCAGGCTTGAGATCCAGGAAAAGCTGATGTTTCAGGTCAAAACTGGGCAGGAACAAAGCCCAGTACCAGTTAAAAGGTTGCCAGGCAGGAAGGATCTCTCTTTCTGAGCGGTGGGGGACTGGAACAGGTGTCAGTCTTTGTTCTATTCAGGCCCTCAACTGATTGGATGTGGCCCACCCACATTAGGGAGGGCAATATGCTTTACTCAGTCTTTGATTAAGTATTAATCTCATCCCAGAACACCCTTATAAAGACACCCAGGATAACCTTTGACCTAATTTCCAGGCATCCTGTGGCCCAGTCAAAGTGACACATGACATTAACCATTACATATTCCTCTTCTAAAATAGACTGGCATCAGGATAAACCATTCTCTTATCTACTATCCAATCACACCACTCTTTCATTCCTTTTCCCCACACTCTGTTCTTTCTAGCCTTGTTCACTCCTCTCTATGAAAGAAAGACCCTGTTTGTCTGACTCTTGAGCCACTTGCAGATCTTATGGTCACAACGTTCTCCTTATAGCAGTAATTCCCCTCCCCTACTGCAAAGCCCCTTTGCCTCCCTTATAATAATGTTCACTAAGTCTCTCCTTGCTAAGTCTGCATTCGTTTTTAATTTGGGAGAAACAAACTTAAGTGACAAATACGGATGAGTTAGTTAAATAGTATGGCACATCCACATTTTTAAAAGAATGTACTATACTCATTGATAAGTAAAGGTGTCTATGATGCACTATTGAGTAGAAAGACAGACTCTAAAATTACACACTTACCCTTTAAATAAAATTACATACATGTGCATCTTAATATTTTGGAAGGACAGTCTCAAATAGTTTCTGATATTCCAGTGGTAGTTATGTCTGGGAGGAGGAAAATTAAGGGGAAGGTTTTCTTTGTTGTTTTTTGTTTTGTTTTGTTTCTTGGTTTTTTTTTCCCCCTATCTTTCTACATTGTTTGAACTATCTGCAGTGAAAGTTGTATTATTTTTGTAAACTGAAGAAAAATCCACAGTGCATAATAGCTTCATGATCTTAATTTTTGTTTTAAAAAATGTCAACTCTGATCATAGAAGCTGGGGGCTGGTGGACTGGCCTCATGAATGTTTGCCTTGATCACCTACCAGAGGCTGTACAATCCCAAAAATCTCTCCCTGGAAACAGCTCCATGAGGGGGAATCCTGTGCGATTCATCCGTTGCTCCCCGCAGCTAAAGGCACTGAAGCCTGTTGGTGGTTGGCTGGCTCCCCGTCAAAGGATGAGATGGCTGGTGACACGTCTGGGCTTCGGGTCAGCCTGCCTGTCTCGGTTTGCCTAAGGTCTGTTTGGTTTCCCAGGTCTTGGGTCTAAAGAATGAGACTTCAAAAAATAGAGAAATTAGGTTTGTTTCATTTACAGAGCTTGAGGCTTCCATCTGCTTATGACTTGAGCAGTTTCCCCCAAATCTGTGTGAGCCTCCTGCCCCCGCCCGCATACAGGCTGGATGACCTAGATGGAGACTTAAATGGCATTAAGTTAGAGCCTCGTTTTTGGAGTCATCCCCTGCTGAATTCCCATGGCGACCTGGGTAAGGGCTTCAGGGAGTCGACTCCCACGTTCTGGCTAAATGCCAGGCTGGCCGATTCCACTCCGCCCCGTGGGTGCTGCAGTGCCAGTGTCCTGCTTCGCCCAGGCTGAGGTCGTTGTCTTTCGGTTACAGAGTGGACGCTATCTGCTTCTTCAGCTTTCCTGCTACAGTAAAGCTCACGAAAGGGGCTTACCGTTTTACAGGTCTCCGTTTCTATCCCTCCCGTCTTAACGGTCTCCACATCGATAGACTCTCACTATGGGTTAAGTTCCAAAGTTGAACCTCTGTTCCTCAGTCCCCCAAACCTAGATGTCCCTCAGGTGTCCAGACCAGGACATTCGTCACTTTGGGTATTTCTTTCTCTAGTTGAACCAGATCAGATTTAGATACTAGGGTTCTGTGACAGATTTCATTTTGGGGGAAAAAAGCTCTGGTACTTGGAAAAATCTTTAAAAAACATAGGCACATTCCATTTCTTCATATACGTGAGATGTTTCTGGGCTTCAGTGACAACAGAATCTAACATCTTAAGGCAACGGCATAAGCAACTTTAACCCTTTTATCTTTTATGCACTCTATTCATTTGTAGCCAGCTACTGAAACACAAGGGCTGTTAAACTACGAGTTCTTCATTGCAGCCTCTCCTTGTCCAGTTGAGTTCTCTATGCTGCCCCCTCCCCCTTGTGTGTATGTGTGTGTGTGTGTGTGTGTGTGTGTGTGTGTATTTGTATCTAAGAATTTATTTCCCTTTGAAGGACCTCTAACAGCACAAAGACCCCAGTCTTTTGAATATTGCCTCTGTCCTTGAGTTTTGCCCACTAAACCTGACTGAAGGGATACACTATCGCCTACATGCCATGTTCTGTCCAGTAAACGGTTGGTTGACAGCACAGCAGCATAGAAAGTGAAGGGTCCTTGCTAACCACAGGAATTCTTTAAACAAACATGATCAGAGCAAATTCCAGTGTGTGCCAGAGAACAGTGAAAGAAGAGGCAAGGTTTCAGACAGGTCCTTCCTTTTACAAACTTGATACTCCTTTTAAAAATGAGCTGCCGTTGGAGTTGCTCACCCTTTTATTAACAGTCCTGAATAAAGAAATCACCTTTGTTGGATAGTATGTTTGCCATTCCTGCATAATCTTGACTTTCATAGCACCCCTTCCTGTTATAGCACCTGTGCTGTGCTCTGGACAGAGGCCCCAGAGGAGGAAGAGGAAAACGCTGGGGTTCTCCATTGTCTCCGTAACAGACACGCAGAGTGGTTGCCCAACACATATTGGAGGAATGACTGATCTCAAGTCCTCGTGCTGTCCCATATTGATGGGTTTATGATTTGTATCTGCAAAGAAACTGAATTCAGAGACTTCAGTAACTTTTTCCAAGGCCCTTAACAGATTGGGAGTGGGGTTGTGCCCAGAATCAGAACCCAATTCATCCTGGCTCCTAAGACCACACACTGCATTACAGCACAGGGCCTCACTGTAGCAAAAAAAAAAAAAAAAGGAATAAACACTTAAAAAGACAGAAGTTTTCTAAGATGAAGTATATGCTTTCCAAAACAAGAGTAGAAAACCTTTTTCAAAGGTAAAATAATTGGGGGGAAAAAAGAAAACATAATATGTAATTTTATATTCATTGAGAATGAGCAATTAATTCTGCCCCCCAGGGATGAATTTATGTCTAGCTTATTTGCACATGAAAGTACAAGATTGGCTTCATTTATATGAAAGTAAGACATCTGGTTGGGAAGTGAAAAATTTGGTCAATTACCTGAATCATGTTTGGTCTACATAATAGAAAAGCCCCAGATGTCTTCAGATCACCAGATGTTTGGCATTGTGTGGTTAACACCAGACCCACTGACTGACTTTTTCACGTGAAGAGCTTGCTGTTTCATTCACCCATTGTTAGGAGGCTGTTATTAGGTTGGTGCAAAAATAATTGCGGTTTCGTCCTTTAAAAATAATAGCAAAACCGTCATTACTTTCGCACCAATCTAATATAATTTTGTAGTTTGCAAACAGTAGTCTAGAGACCAGCACTGGCCCTTGATAAAGTAATCAAGGGTGTGTGATGAAATGAGAAAATAAGGTCACAAAAGGAAATGTATTTAATTTGAAAGAATGTCCTTTATTTTGAGAGCATCTCCTTCCTATCTTTTTTAGCGATAAAACATTCTGTTAAATAACCTCGATTCTAGGGTTTGTTTTTAATGAGAAGCCTATGTCAGTTCCCAATTTTCTTCATGTGACTTTTCTTTTTTTTTTTTTACTAGATTGTGGGGAAAAAAAAGAAAAAAAAACACTTTGAAGACCACTGCTTTAAACCTGGTAATGTCTTCAGCACAATGACAGCTAAAATATTTTCATATATTTTCTAAAGTTGCCTTCCCTAACAGTGGGGAAACTCTCCATGGCAGAACTCTTTGTCTGAGTCTTGAAAGCATTGGTCATCTTAACAGTCAAGGGGTTTGCTTTTAAAATAATAATTTTTCCTTTTGAAACAAGCATTTGGTCCTTAAAATAACTTCGAAGAGAACACCTTCTGCCCTTTTAAAACATTTCACTCTGGAGACAGGCCATGGAGACATGACCACAGGGAGACACTTTTCATGCTAGAAAACTGAATTCCATCACTATGAATATTTTAACAGCTTTTGCAGTTTCTGCGGTTTGCTGTCGTGATTCTCAAAGCATATATCTCAACATGTCGTAACATGATCTCTCCTCAAGCCAAAATGAACTGACTAGCCACTGTGTGCCAGGCGATATGGATACATCCAGAATACGGAGTCATAGTAACCATAATAATATCTTTATCGTGCGTTTCCCATGTGGCAGACAACATCCTAAAGTGCTTTCTGTGTATTATCTTGCTTCAGTCTCATAACCACTTTGGGGGAAAAAAAAGTAGTATTATTATAGCCTTTGTACAGGTGAGGAAACTACAGAGGATGCCAAAAAAAAATGTATACACACTTTAAGAAAGGAAAAAAACTGTATTAAAGTTGTAATACTCAATATACCGATAACAAAAGATGATACGTCATGTGCATACATTTTTTTGGCACACCCGGTATAGCAGGAAAATGAAATCACTTGCCCAAGGAAACAAACCCTGTGATTGGTAAAGCCAGGATCTCCATCCAAGCTTGCCCACCCCCTAACCTCAACTCTGCTCTGCTAAGCCTTTTGCCTCCTATGTATACATCTACCAAAAGAGCTCTGCCTTCATGGCGGTTATAATCTACAACAGAGAAGAGGCACACGGCAAAAAGCCATTATGTAGAGCAGAATGATGTAATTCCAAGAAACATGCTGTGCGATCGCAGGGGAAAGAGGGATTAATTATGATCTACCCAGGAAAGGCTCTTTGGAGGTGGCCTTAGGCTAGGCGAGAACAAACTAGGGCATCAGCAATTATCTAGAGAATTAGGTCACTGTGGGTGTCAACGTGGATGATTTCAAGCTAAAAAGACTGCACTGTGTGCTCTGAATAGTTCACAGTCGGCCACCTGCGCCGCTGGAATCCATTGGATTTTTGCCAGGTCTCCTGTTCTCCCTGTGACTTATAGCCCTGGCTCAGGTGAGCTTCCTGCTCCAGGATGGGGTGAGTAAAGGAGGGCAGTGCCACAGCAGGGGGTGTGAAGTGGAGAAAGCCCGCCCGCCCGGTGTCTGCAGCCTTGGGGTTTAATCCAGATTCTACCTCCACAGCTGAGTGACCTTGAGGTTCAGTTTTCTCTACTGCAAAATGGCTACACTGAAGTTAGTGGTCTCGAAGGGCCATTGGAAGTCCAGAATTTCTGTTTTTGGAACCTTCCTAGAAGAGGAAAGGAAGGAGCTAGAAGATTCAGCATGCTGGGATTTCATGTTCCTGGACATGAACTTCCATGGGAGCCTCCTGCAAATGAAGCTGCCTCCTTTCTCTACCCAGGACTATCAGCACCCACATGCGATCCTTCCTGGCTCCAGTAACCACCTACTCTAATCTACACGGTATCGTAGGAAGACCCCGGACTTTGGAATCAGAGGATCCTGAATTGAAACCCTAAAGGTGCACCTCAGCAGATAGGTGCCTTTGAACCAATTATGTAACCTTTTCATGCTTTTATTTCTACAACTATAACAGTGATTATAATCCTAGCCTCCTCGTTTTGTTGCAGGCATTGAAGGGATAAGCAACTGAAAAATTACAAGAACAGTGATTGAAAGCGCGTAGCATGTGATAAATGGCACTGTTACTATTATGATATTTATCTCCCTAAAATACAAGTTGTGTATGCCGCTCCTCAGCTCACTGGTCTGCAGTAGTTACTGGTCGTTTGTCAGAACAGGTCCAAACCCCTTGACCTGGTGTCCACCCTGCCTTCCTCAGACCCACTTAGCTAGACGACCTGGGGCTTTTCACCTAGAAGTTAACTGCCATCCACTTCTTGAATCAGATTTGACCACGCTAGGAGGATTTGAGAGCTGTTATTTCACTAGATGATGATATCCTCAATGTCTTGCCACCATTGCAGCACGATAACTAGTGAGGGGCTTGGGTCCCCTGGCATTCACTTTCTAGGCTCATGCATAGGCCTTGATACATTACATCATCCCGGAGTGAGAGAAGATAAGAGTGCATTACTGGTGGGTTATATTAGGAAACACGTTCCTTGTCTCAGTGGCATCCAAGAGTTACATTTAATCCAGTCTCTACTGTCCCAACTGATATTCAGCATCATGTGTGTGTGTGTGTGTGTGTGTGTGTGTGTGTGTGTGTGTGTGTAATCTTTTTGTCTAAGCTGATT